AGGCTGCGTCGATCGTCCACACTGACTGAACTGAACTTAACTCCTATCCTATCCTTGCTTCACTTCACCTCCTGATTACAAAACACTTGCAACAAATCTCATCGAAGCTGAAATTTGTTGGGGGAGCATTTGTCGATCGCCCACACCGAACGACTGAACTTGATTCCTATCGTTGCTTCAAGATGAGCTGTGCTTTACAGCCTTTTGACTATGATGACAAGTTGCGAATCTTGATGCCAACACTAGTGATCAAAGAGCCAAAAAAAAAACAAGTAAAAAGAGCTCAAGATGCTCTCTGCACACATCATGGCATACGACGACATGATGCTCGACCAAACATTGTACTGACGGCTGACGCGTCGACGAGGCACGAGGCCGTTTTTGTGAGTTCTGAAGTCTGAACCAAACACAAGCAGCGGCTTTAGTAGGTTAGGCTACAGTGCTACAGACAGCACCGACCTGCAGTCCTGCACCTTCGCTGCTTCGCCCATGGCACTACGCCTCGGAGAACGCAGCAGGTAGTGACTAGTGAGCACAAGGTGGCCGAAGGCCAACATGCCCACAAATTACATCATTTTGCGACTCGTTCTTCTTACTTTTGTATTACATACATAGCTGCTCCGAAAACACCAGACCAAATTTCAGCAATTGCTCTGTCCTTCTTCGGGAGCCGCAGCTTCCAAAGGTTCGCATCAGTGACGCACGCTGTCGACATCTGACGGATGCTTGCTTGTTCGCTCCGACCTGAAAACCACCCTCCCTGTTTCTTCGCTTCCAAAGCTGCCAACAGCATAGCGCTATGAAGGTGCTCAAGTGTTTCCGAGGGATGGTTGCAGGGCGCTGAATGTTGTGCAGGCCGCTTGCCACGTTGGAAGTGTCCATAGGCAGATCAATGCCAAGTTTAGCCCAGAACTCCTTTGCAAATGGACATCCCACGATCACATGATCTGCGGATTCATCCTCTTGCTCACAGACTTCGCATACAGCACTGTCGATAATCTGTTTCCGCAGCAGGTTTACCCGGGCATTGAATCCGCCTTTGCATGAGCAGCCAAATGAACAATTGAAGCCTTTTTGGGGGCACAGCTGCCACAAACAAAACTGGCAGCCGGCAGGGGGTTACCATCTCTGAATTTCAGCAACCTATATAAGCCGCCGGAGTCGAATTTGCCGTGTGGTAGGCAGGGGGTTCCTTACATCGGCCGTTTCATGCAATGTTGTTTGGAGTAATAGTGTCCGCATCTCATCCATCTCGGTGGCAGCTTGCTATGAGATCATGACAAGGTTCCTTACAGGAGGTCCTTTTGCTCTTCTATCTAAATTCCAATTCCATGTGCAGCAGTTCATGACATGAGGATATTCTTAGTGGAGTAGAGTGTTTCATTTACGCAGTTTAGATTGATGAACGAAACATGATCTTTCACTGCAGATTATCTCTCGGTTTTACATGGCAGCCAAAAGCATTTACTACATGAAACTTGCACCGATAATGGCATGCTGAGCTCATGTGCATAGTAGCCCTGCATTCTTTGCTGTCATTGTCAAAGAAAGCAGGTGTCTAAAGAGTCGGCATGAAGAAAGGTGCCTCTACAAATCTTGCATCATGATGCTTACACAACAAAGAATATCTGACCATACAAGCAATAATACGCACTTATGTGGCTCAAAAACCTGGTGACTCAAGTATGAAACGAAGTACACTTCTATGTAGCTATCAGTGGATACAGAATCAACCACGATATGCAGCATCTACCTTGGATACAGTGACTCAAGGCAATTTTATTCAATCTGATACCCAGCATTTGGTTCAAGACGCAACCTAACTCGGCCGCATGTCTCAGGTAGTGAAGTGCCGAAATCTTTTTAGGGTTACAAATTTGTGCTAACAAAATCCCCAAGGTTAGAAACTTGGTAGGCGCAACGAAACCACCACAATTAGTCAGGCGTGGCCACACCCTGGTTAAGCTCGGCGAATCTCATGCCAACCCTCATGGAGTGCTTCAGGAACTTCTCTGCGCAGCGGCGGACGCATGACTCCTCTTGCTTGTCCAGGGTCTTGCGGCGGAATGTGTCCACACAGTCTGTGAAGCACCTCTCCACCAGGGAATTGTACATTCTTAGACTGCAAAGTGATAGAGCAAAGATGTGATTATTCTTGATATGCAATTTGACAGATATATGGGGAAGGCGTGAAGGACCAGTGAAGCCAACCATCAGGCATTTGCAGGAGGTTTTAATTAATTAGACAAAAAGGTAAACCCAAATTTATGAGGAAACACCACTTGAAATTAAAAGTCAAGCGTAACAGGATCTGCAGGAGTTTTTAGACAAATGGCAAGACTAAATTTACTAGGAAACACCACTTAAAATTAAGCCAAGCATTTCAGTATTTCCAGGAAACACCAATTAAATTAAGTCAAGCATTACAATATTTGCTACAATCAAAATCAAGGATCATCCATTAATTCTACAGGAAATATTATCCTATTCCACCATAAGATCCTTATTTCTCCACCCTTTTGAATAGCTTCGCATTATGACACCTAGCCCTACTCCTACCGTTAAACAACAAAATATCAACACTAGCATTTCTGGCTCCAGCATCTGCACCTTGAAAAAATTCATCCCTTTCCAGGTATCTAAAATGCTGTAAACTAGAATCAATGAATGAGCAATTTTGAGTGCAACAGTTGCGAATCACCGATAAAAGGTTTTGGCTTGAGCCTAGAACCACCAACCAACAAATCCAATGTGTCAGAACTCAGAACTTAGCATACAGAATATACAAAACCGACTTCACAGACAAACGAAAGGGATAAAGAGAAGCCTTGGAACTATCGATTCTGACCCACATGAACCTTGTTTACAGCCGGAGTAGCTAAGGGTACCAAGTAATTCAATTTTTAAGTCGACAAACTCTGGGCACCAATTCACCAGACGGTTTGGCACCTTCCGAATCTAATGAAAGCAGTTAGCTTCCATTCGACTGCTCGACTAGGTAATAACCTTCCCATTCCCAACCACGATTGCTCATCCCAACAATACAGGGGCAAACTAAAGTATTTATCACTGAGCAGCTTGTCATACACAGCCAGACGCCTACAAAACCAATGCTTATATTTCAATCAACCAAAAGAAATCGTTGAAACATATACTGATTCGCATGATTTGCAACGTACAAGGTGCAAACTGCAATATCACAAATCTAGTGGATACCTATCGAAACGCTTCTGTTGCAATGCGCTGCACAAGTGTGCCAATCACTTGCAATACTTTTCACTGAAAAGTGAAAACCAGCGGTAGGAGAGCACAAAGCCCAATTCACGCTTCCGCACAAGTGAAAACCAGCGGTAGGAGAGCACAAAGCCCAATTCACGCTTCAAAATCTTATTACGCGCGAGCAACAGGGGCGCGTTCTGTTTCAACTTAACCGAAACTAGACTAGCAGGGACCGGTAAACATCAGGATTCAGGGTGCGTTCGTATGGCACGAACCTGTCGCGGATCTGGAGCTGGTCGATCATGGCGGCCATCCGCATCTTGTCCTCCTCGGGGAGGCCGTCCAGGTCGCCGAGCATGCTCTTGTCCATGGCCGCCGCCTCCACGGATCAAGCACCTAAATAAACGCCACGGATCTTAGCAAATCTTACGAACAACCCAACTCAAACTCGTCGAGAGCCGAGATCCATACCGGGAGTAGGGAGGGGGTCACGAGACGGAGCAGGCAGATTTACCTGCCCGACGACGACGACCCGAACCCGACGCCGGGGAGGGCAGAAGATTCGTCGGCCGCAGGCGCACGGAGAGGACAGAGGGGTGAGTCGGAGAGATGGTGACGCGAGCAGCGGTAGGGTTTAACGGAGAGAACAGGTCGCTGCAGGTGGGCCGCGTGGGGTTGGATGGCGCCGCGGCCCGTGCGATCTGGAACGGGCGGACACGATGGCCACCCGACCACGAAGCACGGCTACTGCGTGCAAAAGTTTAAGGGCCTGTTCCCTCGATGAATCTGGAGGAATCGGATGCAATTTGGGAGAGAGTGAACAGTATTTTTTTTTTCTCAAAACAGTGATTTTCAGCTGCCGTTCATGTCAGCCGAACGGCGCCTAAGAGTTTGTTTGTTTCGAGGATGGAATATGGCCATCCATAAATTTTAGGATATAGATATTTATATTGTCGGTTTGGTTGATGGACCGGACGAGTTATTTTTCGGATGGATGAGATTGCATGGGATCATAATATTTGACTAATTATATCTATTATTTAGAAATAATAACAACTAATTATACCCTAATAAATATGCATCGACACTAATTTTGTCATTATAATAACTAATTAAAAATAAAATACGTTAATTAGCACTGTACTACTCTAATTGTCATATAAAACCTACGCTAATCAACATGAGGATATCCTCATCCACCAGATTTCTGAGGGCAGAATATCCAGTATCTATCTGGTATCTACTCAGAATATTTCCTACCGTGGATATGTTGAGCTTGTCCATCGATCAAACAGCCTGTATCTGTCCATGGAACCGAACACACCGACTTCTTCCTTTCGGCCCAGAACCCAACTCGCCACACGTGGAAGGCAGCCCACGCCGAGGTGGGCCCTGTATTGGAGTATTGAGAGGATGGCGGCCCGATCCCATCTTCGTCCTCTCGTGTGATCGCGACGCGCAAGTCCCGGCTCCGCGCGCCGCCTCTTGCCGTCGTCCGTCGTCCCTGCTCCGCGCGCCGCTTCCTCGCGCACTGGCTCCTTGCCGTCCGCCCGCCCCTCGCCCGCCACCGCCGGCTCAGCTCTAGCATCCTCTACTCGGGCGGCCATCATCGGATCCACATTTCCGGTGAGCCTACCCCATAAGCAGCGGCCGCCATTGTCGTTGTTCTTGCTCTGCCGTCACTAGCCCTTGCCGACGCACGTCGTCGCCAAACCACAGTGTTACCTTGCCGCCGCCCCCCAAGTCGGTATCAGATCAGCCGAGTCGTTTCTGCTGAAACTATGGAATCGCGCCTCCTCTTACTCCCTCGCCACCTCTCCTTCTCCTCCGTCGCCCCATCCAGCGCCTCTGTCGTCGCCAGCGAGATCTCTGCGCTCCTCACCGCCCGGAATTTCCTGGCTTATGTTAACCGTGCGGAGCAGTTCATAAGCTCCCAGGCCGTCACACCCTCGGGCATCCCTGAGCTCTACCGCGCGGTGGCCGCCGCAGCCCCAAGTGGGAAGGCCCGTTACTTCATCGCCGTGGCCTCCGCGCTAGTCGAGGGATCCGCGCGCGCGGACCTCCCCGACGGCGCGCTGCGGCTGCTCGAGCTCCTCATCGACACGCCTGCGGCGCGGCTGCCGATGGGATCCTCCTGCGGCCACCTCATGGTGAAGCTCCTCTCCCTCGGACGCCACGCGGATGCGCGCCGCGTGTTCGAGATCCTCGCGGCTGCCGGCGAGCGCCAGCACAAAAAGGCGATCGATTTTCTTTGGGCAGCCGGTAGGGGGGCCGACGCCTTCAAGGTGTTCGGCGAAATGGCGGATATGCCCGTGGCTCCAAATCGTAAAAGGTACATTTGCATGATGTATGATTACTTGAAGAAGGGAGACCTGGAGTCCGCATCCGAGATACGGACCCGGATGATGCAGGGGGGCATCAAGCTATCCACTTGACAGCGACAAATGCTCCGGATGCTGGCAGAAGCCCGGGCTTGCCCAGACAACATGCTGCGGAATAAGGTAGAAATTTGCATTATGGCACAGGACATCGATGAGGCCATCCGTTGGCTCCGCCATATGAGCCACGATGATAAGGCACCTCCAAACGCTTAGTCCTACAACTTGGTAATCGCCAGTCTCTGGAAGGCAGGGAGGGGTGACGAAGCTGTCAAGCTGTTTGGCGAGATGACAGACATATCGCTGGCGCCGAATCGTTTCACATATACTGTCATGATAAATGGCCACTTGAAAAGACAGAGTATTGGTCTGACCCCGAAGCAGAAGGAGAATGGAGATCTGGAGGCTGCACTCCAGTTGAAGGCTCAGATGGAGCAGGCAGGCTTCAAGCCAGATGAATGCACCTACCATTTGCTGATGGCAGAACTCTGCTTGGCTGAACGGCTGGGAGATGTTACAGCTTTATTCCTCGAGATGCTGATACAAGGGACGACATTACATAAGATCGTTCATAGCAGCCTGTTGGAGTTCCTCTGTAGAATCAATGAAGATCAGTTACTGGGCATCATTGAAGAATCTGCAAAGAGCGGTGTTTCTGCAGCGGATAATGGTTGTATTACCTTGTTGAAGGAGCTTTGCAGGATTGATAAGGTTTCAAGTGCAGAAAAGGTGTTGCAGACATTTGCCAGAGCAGGGTTGGTCCCAACGACAGACATGTACAGCATTCTTATTGACGGGTATTGCAAGATTAGGGAACTCCATGGGGCATTCTTGTTGTATCGCCAGATGAAATCACATGATCAGCTTGTACCTAATGAAGCCACCTACGAGGCACTACTGCTGGCTGTGCGCAACAACACAAGCATCGTCTACTGGGAGGACGTGGAGGAGTTGTTTGAGAAAAATGGAGTTAGTATAGATGCACTGAACTCCTTTTCTGACATATATGGATTCAAGTCGGTATATTCTAGTACCTAGAATGCTTAAAAAGGTGTCGGTTCAACTTGCTAGCAAGCTATTTTAGCATCTATAGAATGGACATCTTCATTGTAGATGTAGACTCCTAGCTTAAACAGATGATCGATGATGCAGCATATATTCTCTTTAATATCTGTATACAAGCATCTTTGTTTTAATTATACAGTGTTCTCTATCCTAGATAGCTGATAGCAGCACAGTTTAGACGCCCTTAGAAAATGAAACATCAGAACCCACGAGATCCGCTTTCTGTTTAGTTCAGGGACAAGCGCCCCAGTCCTTTTGTATTGGAGAGGACAGAACTACACAATCGAATTAGCAATACTTGATTTATAATTGACAGAAACAATCCTTTCATCCATGCATTTTACATACAATTCAGCTATATACATGTGGTGCTGTACTACCCACATTGTGTTGTGTCAACTGCTTTCGAGTGTATGTTTTCTCCTGTTTCCTCAGCTTCCTAGTTCTTTTATTGTGTTTGTGTGTGTGTGTGTGTGTGTGTGTGTTTGTTGATGAGAGAACACCATTACTATTATGCCTGTGTCCATTCAAGTTCATTTCCCTGCATGCTGAAAGACTCACATATATTGATCATTAATGACAGAGTACAAAGGTTCGGGAATGACACTGACTGCATGTTTGTAGCACGTTGCCGCTATGAGTAACTCTAGCTGTCTAGCATGAGAGAATAAGAATAACAAAAACTGCTACTATAGTAAGTAGCTATGTATTGTGGAAGTCGATAGCATAATTCACAAACCAAATGTACACTTCTAATGTTCGGGGGATGTCTAAAGAGAGAAAACTCTTTGATCAGCATGCATAGCTGGATAATCTTATTGAGAAGGCAAGGATGATATGTGCATGGCAAAAAGTAAGTGAACTGAATGGTAACTAGGATGTGATTTTTAAGTGCCACCTAGCTGTGAACTTGGACCATCATAATCTTTTTAATGTTTGGATCTTCTTCACAAATAAGTTATTTTTCATTTGCTACCCCAATTTATGCATGTAAGTAACATCAGTTTATAAGTTATGCATGATAACTTTTTCTGACAGAGAAAACTAAGACACCATTGTTTTTGGTTCCATCTTTTGAAATGGAGTTCTGGACCTGTATATGGTTCCTCGAAAAAAAAATGATGATCTGAACATCGACAAAATGTTTACTAAGATACGAAATAATGTTTTCTGTCCATCAGAAATATTGATGCTTTGTTTGGAACTTCTTATTAACTTAACTGGCAGAATTAGGGTGAGACAACTTTAGACTATAATCTGTATTCTATCATTCTTTGTTTGCACTGCTGCTGTCTGTTAACCTGGAATTTTTCTGAGCAATGGAAATAAAAGGAAGTAGCTTGATTTGATGGAACTATTTGCTAGAGTTCCAATGTCAGGTTGGTGCCAAGGGAAATGGTTTGGCACATAGTATTTGTGTGGCCAGCCTCGTCAGAAATGTCACACTGCCCATTTTGAAGTCCTGAGACACATAAGTGTGGGAGACTGATAAATCCATCAAAACATAACTTCATTTGCAATATTAGGTTTGGAAACCAACTATCAATATGTTTATTTACTTTCTAAGTTTCAGAACTGATCGATTAGAATAGGCAGATGCATTTATGCTTACCCCACTAATATTAGCAATGCGCTGAGGTGCAATACAATAATCTCATGGTTCATTCCTGTAACTATTTGTTTTCCAGCACAAATAATAGCATAAAAAGGGTAGCAAAACTTCACGATAAGGAAAATTTGAATGATTCTCTTCTGTCAATAGGAGAATCATACCAAAAGCTTAGAAACTTCTGTTGAGTGGTACATGAAAAGCTGGAACATATACCGGTCGATTGCGAACTTTGAGGTGAGTCACTGTCTACCTAGTATGACCACCTTTCCGTTCTACTCGTTTACCTTGATGCCTCTAATTTTAAATTATGCTCATCTGGGATGTCCTCTTTTCAGGGACAAGCATTAGCAAAAGTGAACATTGGCAATGTTCTTGGTTCTTGTGGTGACTAGGCTGGTCCATTGCAAGCTTATGAAGAAAGCTAGAGGTAACGTCTTCATGTCTTCCTTTCCAAAAGTCAGAAGATCTAGAAACACGCCGGATCAGTTAAAAGAAATGGCCATAAACAACATATAGGACACGTCGCTGGAGGCTTATTCGCAACATTTCTTTTATGCATTCGAGAATCCATTTCTTATACAAATGAAAACGATACATTTTAAAGTTTGCGGTTTAGAAATGAGAAATTGTGCGTGCCGATGATGTTTTTGATGATATAGCTGCATCGTTAGTTTTGGGTTTGCACCAATCTTCTAAGGAAACACTGGGCATATTGAAGGGACTGAACCTGTCCTAAACATCCGGTACTTTTGATACTTTTACTAACAGCTGGATTGTGTGTGTCAGTGTTGGATCCGTGTCCGTGCAATCTATGCACCATGTTGCTTCCATCTTTAGTTTCTAAAATACTTGCATCACATCATATGCAGGATTGCTGTGGAAGGAGACCTACACTACACCTAGCTAATGGCTAATGTGCAACTTTCTGCCCTTGAGAACATGCATTCGAGCCATATGGTCCAGATTCGATAATAGTGAAGAACCAAGTAATAAGTTACTAAAAAAAGATCGAATTTGCACAAAAGGCTGTTATTTTACGCTATTACTACTAAAGAGACTATCATTTTCAGGAAAATGCAGGGGTTATTATGGTATATATTAGTTGTGTTGGTTGGACCGGGAGGTTGTGTTCTTGTTCCTTGATCTCACTTGGACAGAGTGCGGCTTGCCGACCTGCAGATCCACTGACCGAGGAGTGCTTGTGAGCCTGCCTGAAGGGCAAAACCCAAGTCCACAGTTGAGTTTCGCTGCAGGGCAGGCAGTGGGTGGATGTGGCCTACGGCCGAACATGATGGGTAGTAGTTATAGGATACGGCCAATTCCAAGGCTCTTGTTTGCTATATATATTGTGGTTGTATAATTATTGTACTCGTCGACATGGCCATGGCCCATGCACTGTTGTGAAACATATCTTTCTTTTTCTGTCTGTTTAGTGCGGTTTTTAAGCTCCAACAGACGATCAATGGTCAAACAAAGAAGACAGTCAAATTAGCGTTTGATGTACTCTTATTTTTAAATACCGTTTTGTGTCACATTATCATTTGTTTACCAAATGAATATCAGATACGAGACACTCTCTTGTCTTTGTTTTAGAAAAAAAAAAAGGGGGGGGCGGTGGAATTTGACTGCCCCACTCAAGCGATCAAGTAAGCATCCAAAAGCCGAGTGGACAGTGATCTGTTAGGCAGATCATATATATATATATATATATATATATATATATATATATATATATATATATATATATATATATATATATATATATATCTTAATCTTCATTTGCTTATCGGAGCATGCACCAGTAGTCAGTGACGCGATCGCTATGGGTCAATGGGCCCAGCACCGTGTCCAATTATCGAAGGTTTCGAGGGCATTTGTCTCAATGCAACTGTGCTAGCATCAAAGCAAGGTACATCTGCCGGCCCATTGCGTGGTCCCGGCATTTGCTGCTCGGCCGACACTCCCTTGAGTAACCCTGTTTTCATCTGATAAGGTTATGCCACTCAATCGCTTCATATCTAATAATATCACATACTCCCTCTATTTTAAATTATAAGTCGTTCTAGGCTTTTTAGATGTATAGTCAAAATTATTTAAACATAATGTATATCTATATGCATAGCAAGAGATATATAGCAAAAAAAAAAAGACCGACTTATAATTGAGAAAAAGAGGGAGTAAAAGATATTTTTCGTATTTCATCTTTCAACGTCTCGTTTTTTGGAAGATCTTTCACTATCTCTGATTTGTATCTCTGACTAAATTCGTCTAGAATATCTTTTTAAAATCCTCCATCCAAATTTCAAATAGAGAGTCACACATGATGAGTCAAGCAGAGCGTGGAATCATGTTGTTCATACACCGCTATATAGTCAACAAATGTTGAATAGTGGCACAAAGATGGTGTTAGAGGAGGACCTTTTTTCTTAAGGAAACTATAGCAATCTAGTTAGGTTGACTGAACTTTATTAGGAGCATTTCTCCCTTCTATTAATTTGCTTGAAAAATCCTAGAACATCAAATGAGAAGACGAGGGAGTGTATGAGGAGAACACAATACTTATAAAACGACAAGTAAATCTTGTTAAGGAATTTACATGATGGGGGTCTAGAATAAAGGATAAAAGGCAAATGACTACAAGCAAAAGCTAAGAAATGAAGAGGGGAAGCGAGGGAGGGGGTCAATGAGGTTATCCTGGTCTTTTGGGGCATCGCATCTGTGAGCCCAAACTACATAGTCACGAGACTTTGAATTTTTGGTTTGCATGAGAAAACCTTGGGGTTGCTGTAGAATATTAGGAGAACTCTAGACTTAAATCAGAGCCATCATCTTGCTATAAGTTAGTCAGATGAACATGAAACAACTACTAGTTGGTAACACTTTTTTGGCACTTAAGGAGTAGATGAGAACAATGTTCTTGGCACTTTTTTGTCTACAAGTTAGTCATATTACAAAGAAATCGACGAGCATGTTTAGTCCGTTATGACATTGCATTGTACTACCTTCAGTCACAAATAATTATCACATAGGACTAATATAGTCTTGAAGACTTTTAAATTTGTGATATTTTTCAAGTATTTTTTATGCAAATAGCATATCATACATGTCTCCAAACTAAAATATACAAACATTATTTAACATTTTGCCAAATCAAATGACATATAAATGACGTTTTTTGTGACATGAGGAATAATGAATTCCCATTTTGAATTTGAAACGTTGTAAAATTCAAATAACCGCACATCTCAATTTTCGAGGAGTTTAGCTGGATATATAGAAAATATTATCAACATTTGCATATTCTAATACATTTTTATGAAAAATATATCTCATTATAAAAAACAATACTCCCTCCATACTC